TAAAATGGAAAAATGAAATAACAAACTGTTTTTCTATTTTAAAATTTTTTTTGTAAGCCGTGATTTTTGTCCCTTTTTGAGCTGATTTTTCCGTTAAGGTTGTATGGAGGATTTTTTTTTGTGTCAAATTGTCAGTGATAGATTATATAGATGCAGTAGCCTTGTAATTATGATGACCAAAAAAAAGAGAATAAAATTCATCAACTCTGGACGTGGTGGGGCTAAACATTTGCCAATAGATAACGACACTGCCTCGTTATCTGTGAGCTGACAGGCTGTCAATCAAACTCCCTACGTTTCTAGTGTAACTGACTTGCCTGCGCCGCCGGGTACGTGGTTTACGTACGACTGTCACACAGTCCACAGACGCAAGACGCACAGACGCTGTTTACTCACCAACGCAACAGTTCTTAGCGGCTTTTTTTGACCTATATCTTCCTCGCAGTTTGCACAAAGTTTGTTGCGATGGCGACAAGAATCCAGGAGCAGTTCACCGCAAAAAAAAGTCCGTTTTTGAGGTGAAAGAAGAAGACAAGGGGAAAAGCAGCGAAGCCAAACTAAGGTGATTCTTGGAGATTCATTCCAGCGATGGCGCGAACTGAAGCAGACGAAGGGTCTAAAACTGAACCACTGGTCCACAAATTACTCCTGGACAGGAAACTTCTGCTTATTATGAAAACGTACTTTATTTCCAAGAGCGAGACAAACGTTTTTCAGGACACGAAAGCGATATCCTATGTCTGAAAACTTAATTTTCAAGGCAAAGAAAGAGTCCTCTTGCTGCTGCGTGTTGTAAATTCGCACTGAATCTCCGTGCACTCTTCTCTGCACCCCTCTCCTCTCCCCTCTCCCGCCGCTCTTCTTCCTGCTCCTCACTTCTCGTCCGCAACAAAATGCCGCACACCCCCTGAAACCAACACTGTAGTTAGTTGTTTACAAGTCATGAGCGGCTGAAAAACCTGTTTGTGGCGTAAAAGGAGGGAGGAGGTTTTCTACGTAGGAGCTGTAGGGGAGGGGAGGTCAAAGCAACATTTGAAAAAGGACAAACAGTTGCTGGAAATCCTCTATACAACCTTTAAATCGTGTGTCGCGCTTCGTGGAGTAAACGTGGGTAACGAGAACTCACTGACGACGAAAACGTTTTGCTGTCTTGTTCAGTTGACCCTGAACTCTGAACACGACGCGCTGAGCAGCAGAACCTCCGGGGTAAATAAACCAGAGAAAATAAAAAAGCAAAACTGAAATTGTCACGATGATGAAATCGTGAATCATCATGAAATCATCATTTTGAAATCAACTTTAAATTAAATATTGGAAACAGAGGTCGAAATCTGTTTTTTTGTTTGAGTCTGAGGGTCTGAGGGTCTGAGGGTCTGAGGGTTTTAAGGGTCTGAGGGCCTGACAGTCTGAGGGTTTTGAGAGTCTGAAGATCTGAGGGTCTGAAGATCTGAGTATCTGAGGGTCTGAAGGGTCTGAGGGTTTGAGGGTCTGAGGGTCTGAGATCTGAGAGTCTGAGGGTCTGAGATTTTGAGAGTCTGAAGGTCTGAGATTTTGAGAGTCTGAAGGTCTGAGGATCTGAGGGTCTGAGGTTCTGAGGTCTGAGGGTCTGAGGGTCTGAAGGTCTGAGAGAGTCTGAGGGTCTGAGATTTTGAGAGTCTGAAGGTCTGAGGATCTGAGGGTCTGAAGGTCTGAGGGTCTGAGGGTCTGAGGGGTCTGAAGATCTGAGAGAGTCTGAGATTTTGAGAGTCTGAAGGTCTGAGAGTCTGAGGATCTGAGGGTCTCAGGGTCTGAGGATCTGAGGGTCTGAAGATCTGAGGGTCTGAGGGTCTGAGGTTCTGAGGGTCTGAGGGTCTGAGGGTCTGAGGGTCTGAAGATCTGAGAGAGTCTGAGGGTCTGAGATTTTGAGAGTCTGAAGGTCTGAGAGTCTGAGGATCTGAGGGTCTGAGGGTCTGAGGATCTGAGGGTCTGAGGGTCTGAGATTTTGAGAGTCTGAAGGTCTGAGGATCTGAGGGTCTGAAGGTCTGAGGGTCTCAAGGTCTGAGGGTCTGAGGTTTTGAAGGTCTGAGGGTCTGACGGTCTAAGGGAGTTTTAGAGTTTTATTTTATTGTTTTTCCTTCTTAATTGAAACTGAACAGAACAAATGGAACACAGACTCTAGAGCTGAACTGTGCAAATGTTCTTCACCTTCTTCAGAGTTTTTTTTCTAGAACAGCCTGTATAACTCTGTAAGTGTACTGCAGTGTTGTGCTGCGTGGATGTTCTCCTTCACCTTCTTTGGAATAGTAGAGCAGCTCGACTTTGCGCTGCTCGCTCCCTTGCAGCGCCTGGGCCAGCAGGGAGAGGGCGCTCTTCATGGTCCCCGGTCCCACGAGGAAGGGGCAGGTGCAGGGCTGCTGCAGGACCTCGGCGCGCGTGAACTCGAAGAGCGCGCAGAAGGACTCGTTACAGAAGATGATGGGGCAGTTCTTCATCTGCGCGTTGGCGATCAGGAACTTACGATCTGTCGACACAAATGTTACAGGTTAGAGCTTTAATACTGAGGCTTCCTGTTTATGGACGCCATTTTGAGTACTTTTGATACTTTTGTTGTGAATAGTTCGAGTTCACATTTGGCTTTAGTTTATTTCTCGTGTCAGAAAAGAGTTTTTGTTTCATGTGGATCAGTCCAGGAATAACAGAAAAATGAACAAAAACAAACCATGTGTCATTTGTTTATTCGTTTTTCAAAATAAAACCAAAAATAAGAAGCAAAAAAACAACTATTTTCTTCATTATTTGTCTCCAAAACCAAATTTTTAAAAAAGGATAATGATTCGTTTTTTTCAGTTTTTGTGTTTAAATGAAAAATGGAAAAAACGGATAATGGACCAGGACCACACCAGGACTGAATACGGTTTAGTCCTGGTTCAGTCTTAGTCCTGGTTCAGTCTCAGTCCTGATCTCAGTCTTGGTCTGAGTCTTGGTCTCAGTCCCAGTCTGGTCCCGGCCTCAGTCCCGGTCTAGTACTGATATGGTCCCAGTCTCAGTCCTGTTTATGGTCTCAGTCCTGGTCTGGTCCTGGTCCCAGTCCCGGTCTCAGTCCTGGTCTTGTTCCCAGTCTGGTCCCAGTCTGGTCCTGGCCTGGTCCCGGTCTAAGTCCTGGTCTGGTCCTGGTATGGACCCGGTTTCAGTCCCAGGTCTCAGTCCCAGGTCTCAGTCCTGGTCTTGTTCCCAGTCTGGTCCCAGTCTGGTCCTGGTCCTGTTCCCGGTCTCAGTTCTGATCTCAGTCCTGGTCTGGTTCCGGTCTGGTCCCAGGCCTGGTTTAGTCCTGGTTTAGTCCTGGTTGAGTCCTGGTTGATTCCTGGTTTAGTCCTGGTTTAGTCCTGGTTTAGTCCTGGTTCAGTTCATTATCCATTTTTTCCATGTTTCATTTAAACACAAAATCGAAAACTGAAAAAAAAAAAATTCTGTTTTTTTTTTTCATTTTGGTTTTGGAGACAAATAATGAAGAAAACAGTTGTTTTTTTTTTTTCTTATTTTTGTTTTTATTTTGAAAAACAAATGATCGATTGATACACGGATTCAAAACCAGCACCACGACATCGGGGGGGAAATTCTACTCCAATTCTTAAATTAAAAAACGCAAATTAACAGTTTGTCACAAGAGTCTCCAGTGGTTCTAAAAATACCAGAGTGTGAGAAGAATGAGAGGAGAGAGAAGAGAGAGAGAGAGGAGAGAAAGAAGAGGAGAAGAAAAGGAGAGTGTTCAGTCACAGCTGTCGGCTCCACAGCTCGGCTCACACGTTCACACCCGTGACAGATCAGAGTCTCCAGCGAGCTCCTGTGGACCAGAACACAGAGTCTGAATAGAACCGCCCCGACCCGACTCAAGGTCTGAGGGTCTGAGGGTCTGAGGTCTGAGGTCTGAGGGTCTGAGGGTCTGAGGGTCTGAGGGAGGGTCTGAGGTCTGAGGTCTGAGGGTCTGAGGTCTGAGGGTCTGAGGGTCTGAGGGTCTGAGGGTCTGAGGGTCTGAGGGTCTGAGGGTCTGAGGGTCTGAGGTCTGAGGTCTGAGGGTCTGAGGGTCTGAGGGTCTGAGGGTCTGAGGGTCTGAGGGTCTGAGGGTCTGAGGGTCTGAGGTCTGAGGGTCTGAGGGTCTGAGGTCTGAGGGTCTGAGGTCTGAGGGTCTGAGGGTCTGAGGGTCTGAGGGTCTGAGGGTCTGAGGTCTGAGGTCTGAGGTCTGAGGTCTGAGGGTCTGAGGTCTGAGGTCTGAGGTCTGAGGGTCTGAGGGTCTGAGGGTCTGAGGTCTGAGGGTCTGAGGGTCTGAGGGTCTGAGGGAGGGTCTGAGGTCTGAGGGTCTGAGGGTCTGAGGTCTGAGGTCTGAGGGTCTGAGGTCTGAGGTCTGAGGTCTGAGGGTCTGAGGGTCTGAGGTCTGAGGTCTGAGGTCTGAGGTCTGAGGGTCTGAGGTCTGAGGTCTGAGGGTCTGAGGTCTGAGGTCTGAGGTCTGAGGTCTGAGGGTCTGAGGTCTGAGGTCTGAGGTCTGAGTCTGAGGGTCTGAGGTCTGAGGGTCTGATCTGAGTCTGAGTCTGAGTCTGAATCTCTGAGGTCTGAGGTCTGATCTGAGGTCTGAGGTCTGAGGGTCTGAGGTCTGAGGTCTGTAAAAATAAAATAAAATAAATACTTGAGTGAACGCGACTTTTGTGTTTAGAAAGAGAGGAGTTTGTGTTTCAATGCTAACGCTAATGCTAACGTTGAGTTGATAATAAACATTAAAACAACGCCACAAACTGAAATATTGTACACATAAAAACAACTGGGCGGTTTTTTACTTTAATTAATTTGAATTTAATAGGCTTTGTGTGGTTTGTTTTATGATTTTGGCTTTGTTTGTTTTGTTTTATGATTGAATAAAAATAACTGTTAGGTTTGGGGCACAGTGAGCTAGTTAGCATACGATTTAGATTTGATTTATTATAATTTTACAGATGGACAGATTTTACAACTGGAAGAAACTAATACAGGATATAAAATAAACAATATACTATTATTTAAAAAAAACATTTAAACAGTAAAAACACAAAATGAAAAGTTGAAGCGTCGATGGAGCAGGAAAAAAAAACTCGAGTAAAACATAAAACACTAAAATAAACCTGATGCTGCGTCACTGTTTAAATCTGACTCTGAAACACGAGGCTCGTAATCAGACTTTCACAGCGGACGCCTGGACACACACACACACACACACACACACACACACACACAACATACAACGCACACACACACACACACACACAGACAAACATACAACGCACACACACATACAAAGCACAAACACACACACATACACACAATCAAACACTCTGAGTCCTGCCGACTACAAAACACAATCGCACAACTGCACACACACATGCAAATGCACACTGTAACACACAAACAACACACACACACACTAAGACACACACATATAAAAGCACAAACAGGTACACAGACACGCGCTACCGCACACTGAGTCCCGCTGACTACAAAACACAATCACACAACCGCACACACACACACACACACACACACACACACACTATAACACATACACCAAACAGTGGAGCAGAGGCTTGGATCAGAGCCACAGACCTAATGAAAAGAACACACACACACACACACACAACACAAACACAGACACACACACACACATACACAACACACACAGACATACACACACAGACATACAAACACATATATACACACAGATACACACACAATCCAACACTGAGTTCTACTGACTACAAAACACAATTACACAACTGCACACACACACACGCAAATGCACACTATAACACACAAACACACACACACACACAGACAGACACTAACACACACACACAAAGACACAGACATACACAAACGCACACACACACACACACACACACACACAGAGACAGACTACACACACACACACACACACACACACACATACACACACACACACACACACACACACACACACACACAGATACACACACACACACACTCCAACACTGAGTTCTACTGACTACAAAACACAATTACACAAACACTGCACACACACACACAACACACACACGCAACATGCACACACACATATACACACACACACACATGTACTAACACACACGTACAACACACACACACGACAACACACAACACAACACACACACACACACACACACACACACATACACACACACATGTACACACACACACACACACACAACACACACACACACACACACACATACACACATGTACACACACACACACACACACACACACACACAACACACACACACACACACACACACACACACACACGACACTAACACACACACATGTACAACAACACACACACGGACAACACACACACACACACACACACACATAACACACACATGTACAACACACACAAGGACAACACACACACACACACACACACAGACACTAACACACATGTACAACACACACAAGTACAACACACACACACACACACACACACACACACAACACACACACACACACACACACACACACACACACGGTCGAGTGGAGCAGAGGCCTGGACCAGAGCCACAGACCTAATGAAAACAACACACACAAACGCACAACACGACGCACACTGTCACACACACACACACACGCAGACACACACACACACTTGACATGATTGGAGAGTTCGATCAGTCAAATGATTCTTTCTGTCGGACGTGGAAACTTTTTAAAAACATTTTCATCCAAATAAAGTTGGAATCTGGAGCCCGGAGATTCTGAAGATTTACGAACGAAACGTGTTTGTGATGAAAACTGTGTTCGTTCTTTCTGACGTTTCTCCGCTCTGTTTGTTTAAAGAGGAATTTTCAGGAGTTTTACCGTTTTCGAGTTTGTACAGACACGTTTACATGATGGTTTTTAATACCTGCATCCTGAATTTCGGACTTCCGGTCACTGCGCAATTCAAACTGGGAAGGATCGTCCGAAAAAGTGAACAAAGTTTGATTTGTGGGACGTGTCTGTTGTCAAAGTCGATCTTTTCAAGTCTTTTGAACCATTTCACTTTTGTTTCTGCTTCTGATATTGTCATATTTTAGTTTTTGGGATACGGACATCGGAATTGTGTGGTTGTTGGATGACGTAACATATACAACGCACGCAAACACACATAAAACACACACTCATATAACACACACATATAACACACAAACACACAATATAACACACGCAAACACACTCAAACACACACATAAACACATATAACACAAACACACACATATAACACACAAACACACAATATAACACACGCAAACACACACATAACACACACATAAACACATATAACACAAACACACACATATAACACACAAACACACAATATAACACACTCAAACACACACATAAACACATATAACACAAACACACACATATAACACACACACAATATAACACACGCAAACACACACAAACACACACATAAACACATATAACACACAAACAAACACA